CTAGTCTATGAAAAAACACGAGGTTACAATTTGAAATGCCTGTGACTGAAGTATATAAAAATGTAGCTGAAAGAAAAGAGGACTCGAAGTCCCCCACCCCCTCCCACCCCCTCCTCGTGGAGTTTTAGAGTTGAGCTGAGGAGGGGTGAAAAGTCTCCGGTGGAAATTTCAAGGTCTGCAAACATTTTTAATATTCATGTTAAATCCTATAAAAACCCCAAACTGTATTGATGCTAATAAAATCCTTGTGTGTGTGGCTTTCAATTGTAATCATAGTTTTCACTTTTGGAGTGGGATGTGTAGGGCTGATAAAAGAAAAGAAATCTCAAAACCGAAGAAATACATAAGGGAATATCCATGGTAATTTATTAAGAGATTTAAAAATAGTTTCATCTGAGTGGAGACATTTCTGGTCATTTGAATGGGGAACAAGGTACAGAAAAGTTAATGACAATGACAAAGATTTTTATAACCTTATAACCTTACTTAATAACAGTTAAATCCCCTCACTTAAAATAATGGTCATTATGATACTCATGTATTTTACCGGTACTTTTATCTCATAGCGTCGACCTCAGGAAATGAAGAAAAAATAGTGTGCTTATTATTATTGAAGCTTTTTATGGAACAGATTCTGAAGTCTTCAGCACATATTTCCACATCCTATCTGACTGTACTCTCTTGTGCTATGTTAAGCTATATAATCGTGTAGTTGCGCTCTTCCAAAATACATTCGGGACAGCAAGACCATTCAAATATGTGAATTTTGGAAGAGATCAGGGTCAACTCATGCTACATCCATAATGGAAAATATAACCCCCTTTTCAACGGACTGGGAATGACAGTGAACGATAATGATGACGAAAAACTCTCAAAGAGTTTCTCTTAATTTCATTTTAAAGAAGGGAAGGGCACACACGCATTTCTTTATGAAGTTCCACTGAGATTGGATGGTGCAAAGTAATTGTATTTTCCAGAACATCTGCAACAGTATTTAAACCATCCTTTTTGTTGTTGTTGGCTTTTTAATGCATTTCCATTTCTTTAAAGGAGGCCAAGGCCTATAATCTCTTGGGCACTGGCTTTCATTTGGCACAAAGATTAGACATCTAAATAATATCAGATGATAAAATAAATGTGAAGATGAGCACTTTAAGAGGAGTGGGAAGAAAATGCCAGAAACAGCTGCAGCTCAACAGAACCAGCTAACACCCCAAAAGGCACGAGAACTACGTTTCTCAGAGAAGGTGCCAAATTCAGTGACAGGGTTCCCCAGCACTCTTTCCCCTTTTAGCTAAACTGATGGGTTAGTCAACAAATGTTTATTGAGTACCTGCTTTGTTCCAGGAACTTTTCTAAGCACTAACTTTAAACAAGACTGACCCTGCCTTCGAGTTGTCTCCACTGTTTCCTGCTTATTTCAGTATCACTTGGTACCCGGTGGCCCAGTGGTTAAGAGCTCGGCCGTTAACCAAAAGGTTGGCAGCTCGAATCCACCAGCCACTCTTTGGAAACCCTATAGGGCAGTTCTACTCTGTCCTACAGGATTGCTATGAATCGGAATCGCCCCGATGGCAACAGGTTTTTTTGGTTTTCGTGAATTTGAACTGAGTATTGTGAGCAAAAGAATACCTGTGCCCTTTCTTCTAGTTCAAAATACTTTCTCATAATAAAGAATACTGAAGCTTTTGCAGAATCTGAATGTTATTTTCAAATTGAAAGGGGCACTGCAGGTAATTTGCAGGAGAGGAACCAAGATCCATGCCAACTAGTTAGTGAGAGACAGAGATAAATTAGAAACAGGATTAACTCCAATCCAATGCTCTTTAAACTAAAACTACCCAGCTTCTGAAGGGCTTGGGTTTGATTTAATTGGGAGAAATGATTAATCCCCATGAGAGAATGCCCTGGGTGTGCACACAGAAGGAGAGTGTATAGTCCACAATATAGATAAACATCATGGTTCTTTTCCACTTTCCTTCCCGGCAGCGTAGTGGTTAAGAGTTCGACTGCTAACCAACAGGTTGGCAGTTCGAATCCACCAGTCACTCCTTGGAAACCCTGTGGGGCAGTTCTACTCTGTCCTGTAGGGTCGCTGTGAGTCAGAATGAACTCGATGGCAAAGAGTATTTTTGGTTTCCCAAAAGAAGGAGGTTTCTAGAAAATTTCTCCAAACTCGATCCACTATTCCATCATCATAAAATGATTTGCTACAGTTCCTTTTTAGCCAAGTTCATATTCACAAATTCAAAAAGGAATGGAGAGTTGAGACGATTACAAGATGTGTGTGTGCACATGTGCACGAATGTGTTATTAGGGTGCCAGAAATGATATTATGCATTATGGAAGTGGGCACCAGAGGAGAGAGAGAAAGAAGAAGGATGAGTGAGCCTCACTTACCAATGGGTGGATGCACTGGTTAAACTCAAAAAGGAACTGCACAACAACTTGTTCGATTTTGTGTGTGAATGAACTAGTAACTCTTGCTGGATTCCACTGTATTTTGTTCTAACCAACCCCTCTATGGGGTTTAAAATAGCATTATGAAAAATAATAATTGTTGGTAAAGGCACAGTGTAACTTTTCCATAAAAAGTTACTTTTTTCCAAGTGCTTTCCAATTACATATCATGTCCAGTATTTAACATTTAATGCTAATGTTTCATCTCTTAGGAGCAATGATTTCATTCTCTCCTCTTTTCATACGAAATAAAAACAAATGTATGGCATTGGGTTCATAACATCATTTACTGCTTGGGAAAAGAAAAAGGAAGGGCAGGACAATCAGTGAGGTAATGATAAAAAGTAATCTAATAAAGGGGGGGAAATGTTTGGGGTTGGCTCTAGAACACACCAGGAAGTAGTTTGTGGTGGCTTATCGTCACAGAGAGGCTTGAAAAAAAAAAATCTTTAAGATATTGTCATAGCACGCTTCCCTCTCCTGGTTCTTGAGCTATGAAATAGTGTTTTCTATTCAGGGAAAAATCGTTAAACGTAATAACCCATAACACGAAAGTTAAGCGTTCCTAAGTGTAGCCTTCACAAAAGACAATGTGTCATTGTGGAGAAACATACCATGAATGGGAGACTTTTCAAAGATCTTTTCTCAAATGTGAAACAAACTCAGGGACCTTATTCTGCCCTGCGGATTTTTATGAGTGACAGGGCAAGGAAGTCTCCCAGATAATGTCTCCAGTGTCAGAACTGAACAAGTAGTAACTAGAGGAGCACAAGCGAACAGATACCAGAGAAATCTTCCTGAGCTGGTAACTGCAGGAGGATGGAAGAATCTCTTTCCAAAACTCCTCAAAAACTTTCTAAAATGTAAGGTGGACACAGATTATTGTTAAATTCTGTTGCTGATCAAGAATTGAGTCAGAATGGCCTCTAATCTATTTTCTTCAAACCAAACATATTTTAAATAGCATTTTTTAAAGTGTGTATTGAAACTGATGTGCGCCTGAGCTAGAAGGCATTTTCTGCTCTCCTAATTCTGGAAGCAGGCTACTTCAACCAATAGTTTCCTCAGGGATTTAAGATTCCAACACACAGTGGCAAAGATCTGAATAAAACAAACATGCATACACACACACACACACACACACACACACACAAATATCAGTTGCTGCCATCACCTCACCACCCTAAGCAAAACAGTTAACACTTCCATCTAAGCTGCTGGCTTCTAGGGAGAGCAATAGTATCAATTATAGTTAACATCTATGATGTATTAACATGTAAAGAAAATAGCAGTGTTAAAAACAGCTCAATTTAAAAAAAAAAACAGTCCTTCTCTAGCAGTTAGCCAATCAGAAAGCAGGTCACATCTTGTTAGCTGGGTTAAATACATTAAATATCATGAATTCTCCATGGTTTGGTTGACAATTCCAGCATGTGTGTTTTATTTTATAATACAACCTTAACTGAGTCCTTTTTTCAGAGTTGAGAGTCAACAATCAATTTGAAATTCCGTTACAGCTATTCCCTAAAAACTCTTTGCCATAAATGCTCTGGGTATTTGCAGTCTGCTGAAAAGACTAAATTCCCAGCGAGTTCCACTTCCTAAAGTCACTCGGGTGCACACACAACAAACTCTTTTTAATTTACTAAGAACACTACAACACAAAGCTCCAACTTACTGGCACCTGGAAACCCAGCAGCAAGACCCGCCAGCTAAGTTAGCACAGTAGCAGAGTCAACGGGCATTAAATATTTAAATTGCAGGAGGCAATACTGGAGTTTTGCATTGAGAAAGTTCTGAAAGTCCTGGTCTCCCTCCTGCTCCCAGAGTTGCTCTCCTAGGAGGCTGAATTCCCTCACAGGCAGGAGATCACAAGTATGCAAAAACCAGAGCTCACTCAAGCGCTGATCTAGCTCCGGGGGAAGGTAGGGCTCTCTAGGAGGCACTCTCACAACTAGAGAAGAAAGTCATGACCCCCCACACCCCACCCCGCCCCAGGCCCAATGCAACTGATTTCTGAATAGAACATGGAAATACACAAACACCAGTCCCTCCCAGGCTAGTTCTGAAAGTATACAGTGTTCCTCTTCTCTCCCTTCACCTCGATTTTGGTGACTTTGAAAAGCAACTGCAGGTCACAGCAGACTTCCTCGGGGTTTTGCTAAAAAAAAATTATTTTCCGCATGCAAATGATGACAAAATCTCTTGCAATTCTATCTCAACAAACACTAACAGGCGCGACTCAGAGCCTGCAAACCCGCGTCCTGGGAGAGCAGCGTTTCTGGAGAACTGGCATGAGAAGCAAGTGCTGGGTTGTCTATTTCAAGATTCCGGCAGAAACTGTTCTCTGCTCCAAGAGTTGCTGTGCCTGGAAGTCCCGGCGTTCAAACTAGTGGCTCCATCCTGGAGCTCCTTCCCACGTACGTGGTAGTATCTAGTGGGACACTTCCCTCCGAATCCAGCCTGAAACCCTAGGAAAAGCCCGTGCACAGTTGCAAAGAAAAACAAACCACAAACACGCCCAGGGCTGAAGTACTTACCTCGGTGCGAGACTGCAGTCTCTTATTCATCTCATAGATTCGGTACTCTGGCTGCACCATGTAGGGTGTATGTCTCCTATAAAATGGGCCGAAAGGAGAAGAATAGAAGGGGTCATGTGGCGTGCTGGACATCTTGCCTGCTTGTCGAGAATCAAGCTCAACAGAGTAGCAGGAACGTCCATGCAGAGCACATGGGCTGTGTTCTTCGCAGTACAAAGTAGACGCACGCACACACACACTCACACACACACGCGCGCGCACACACACACACAGAGCAGGCAGGCAGGCAAGCAGCCTGAGCACACTGGCTGGGAACTGCTGTGGGGGCCGTCTAAAGCGAGAGAGACGAGGGAGAGCGGGAGAGGAGGGAGGGAGGAAGGAGAGAGAGCACGGGAGAGGCGGGAGGGTGAGCAGGGGCTCCAGAGAGGGAGGGAGGGAGGCTGGTGGGGAGGAAGGGAGGGGAGGAAGAAGGGAGAGGCGGACTGGATAGCTTTAGGCACCATTGCTTGTTTTAAAAGAAGCGGTTTGTGGAGAGGTCATTTCCTGTCCACACTGGAGCCTAGTTCACAGATATAATTCTGCTCACAGTCTGACAGAGGTCTCAGATTTGGGTTTCATTTTTTTTTTTTTTTTCCTCCAGCCAGGACCCTTCACAACCTGATTGCTAAGCTTGTTAGCATCGAGGTGGTTTAACCGCTGCCTGAGCAGCTCACCCCAACAGCCACACCGTTGTCATGTTATCAGCAATGTGATTACTACAAAACACAGAAGCACATGTGAGCCCGTGACTCACTCACATGCAAAGCTTCCCCTCTCTCTGCACTAATCCCCCTATGGAGTTTTGGATTTACTTGCTGTAGTTCCAGGAGTTTATTATATTCTTTGCATTTCGACCCCTCCTCACCGTGTCCCTAGCCCTGCCCCATCACCACCTCTCATCCTCCTCCCTCTTCTCTCTGACTTCGCTTAAGCCCTCTGAGTCTGAGTAGACTGGACTGCAATGGGTTTTTAAAGGCAGTTTAAGGGGCCTGGATTCAGGTTACCTGGGCATTTTCAGGTAAAAACAATCTTTCTAAAAGTGGAGGGCTTAAAATAAATCCAAAGGGTAATGTCTTTTTTACTAGGAGGAAAAAATTCCAAAAGCAGACCTCCCAATAAAATAGGAAAAGCAAAGAAAGAGAAAACGTCCACAAACACAACCATAGCAAATTCAGTTGAGTAGGAAATTGCAGATAATTGAATGGATCATCCCCAAATAACATATCCAACTGGGATGGAGGCAAGGTCTTTATTTTCCAAGACTGGTAAAGTATATAAATCTTTTCCTGACTCTGGTATACGATAACCGGAAATAAACCTAAACAGCCCATAGAAGGGAAAGGAATCTCTACAGAGAATTAGATCTCTATGACAATCAGGAGTCCCTGGGTAGAGCAAACGGTTAAGCGCTCGGCTATTAACTGAAAGGTTAGTGGTTCAAATCCACCCAGGGGTGCAGCAGAAGAAAGTCCTGGCAATCTATTTCTAAAAGACCATAGCCATCGAAAACCCTATGGAGCACAGTTCTACCCTGCAACACATGGGTCACAGGAGCTGGAATTGGCTTGACAACAATTAGTACTGGTAAATGTGACAATCAAATTCTGTTGGAACCAATGATAACTGGACATATGCCCCGTAAGCAAAACCCAGCCTACCGAAATGTTCAATGTATTGAGCTAACACCTCGTAGGACAGTGGTACAAAGGAATAAAGGAATGAAAGCAGATCACCGAGAAGCATGGTGAATGTAAGATCTGAATGTAAATGCATGCAAATGAGACATTTCTTTTTTTTTTTAGTAAGTAGATTAATTAACTTTGTGCCCCAAACATGACTTGTGGTATCTGCAAGTCACTCGCCAACAGGGGATAAGATATTGCTAATTCTGCAATTTACACTCTTCAGAACACTCAGGTGCAGAAATGCCCCCAAATTGCTGGCTTGGTCAGTTCCTCTCTATAATTACGTGAAATGCTTGCAGAGTCCACCCCAAACTTCTAGCGCAGCCCAAGACAGTAATGTCGCTTGCCAGGATGAGATTAGAGGAGGTATTATGCTAAAGCTGCTTGGAAATTTTGCAAGAAGACCCCATGGCAGGCCAGCATGCTTGGTTTCAGGTTTCATTACAAATCCAAAAGCTGGACCAAATTTGCTGTAAGGTTTGTCAAAACATACAACCTTCTAAAGACAGGATTTCAAACAAATTTGGCCTGATTTATGTTTTGGTATGGTGGCCGCTGCAAAACCTAATGGTCCATTGTGTTTAAATTCCAAAACTAAAGACAGTCCAAGAGTTTGTGTTGATATGGCTATTTAAGCACAAGAATCCAAATAACACCTAGCAGGTGTGAACAGCCCAATATTGATCAAAAAATGGAAAAGAGCAAAAATTCTAGTTAGGCCATCACTTTTTGAATAAGATTAAGTTTTGCTCTCATTATTTCTTGCGGGCTGTTCCTAGTTATAACTGGAAAGATTTCTTTCTGGTACTACTTAAAGACTCCAAATTCAGAAATACCTGGGACTTGGTCCACATCGTTTGTCATCCCCACAACTTCAAGGGTTTCCAGACTGGTCTCCCTGCTCTCAGAGCCACACTTCTCTTCTACGTTATCAGAATGTCAACTGCAGAAAAGTGAAATTGATCACACTCCCTGCTTTTCCCTGCAGCTGGTAGGAAACTGTCTAAGCTCCTTAGCATGGCCCAAGGGCTCATTAAAACTGGCTTCCTCCCAGCCACTCCAGCCCGTGGTCTCCTCTCCTGTGAACTTTTTTGATTACTAATTCATTTACTCAACAGAGACTCAGTTCACAGTGGACAGAAACACAGGCCATAGCTCTGGCCAGATGAAGTTTCAACCGTGGTTCCACCACTTACTCACTGTACAAAATTTAGCAAGTGTCTCGACCTCTGTTCCTCAGTCATCTCATTTGTAAAATGGGGTTAATGATAGTAACTAGTCCATAGGATTGTTGCAAAGGATCAGCTAAGATAATATATTTGAATAAATGAGATAACACATT